TTTTTTGCAGGTGCATTGTGTTCCGCAAGTACAAGGGCACCATTGGCTCGCCACTGAAGTCAATGTCAAGGTTGAGGAACTTGATGCTGGCCTGTGCATGTGCGTCACGAGGAAGACATGTGACAATTTCAGACACCAAAACGACTGACGGAGAAGCTTGTCACACCTGCTTGAAGTGATCGGTTCTGGCAAGGTCGCACCCCTCAGGCGAAAGAGTTCAAGGCGACTCAGGCGATCTCTTTGGTTCTGTGAACCGGGACAATCGTGTGACGATGGTGTGCGAGATGCTTGGTGGGCGAAAGGGTTTGTGTGATTGTGACTTGGGAGCACCTGCTGCAGACCACCCTGGAGTTTTGTCAGGTTCCTGGTCATACGATCTATATATTCCATGAACAATAGCAAACAACAATCACAAATTGCCAGTTCCATTCCGTACTTTGGAATCTATGCAACGGGGTGACAAGGGTGTGCTTGTGCCAGGGACGCTGGCCTGTGAAGTCCTGCAAAGTCGTCCTCGGCTTGTTGAGGCCGCTGCCGAAAAAGCGGTTTGTTTGGAAGTTTGCCCAATTTGGATGATTCTATTGGGTCAGGGGTATGGCCCGGGTATGGCTAGGTCTTGACTCTGCGGGCTCTGCTTTGTTTTTGGTCATCAAGTTGGTGTGGACCAAGCCTGCGCAACCTGAATTGCAGGAATGCTGAGGCCAACGCTGAGTTCAAGAATCTGGACACCGAGAAGCTCTTTGTTGAGCACGTCCAGGCTTCCAGCAGCTTGCAGCTTCCAGTGCAGAGGAGTAATCAGTGCAAAAGGTTTGTTTTCAGGTGAATGCTGCTCAGCAAGGCCGCAGGCGCACCTACCGCGCCCACGGCCGAATTGGCCCTTACATGCAGGGTGCCTCAGTTCATCATCAGTGCAACGCAGATCTTCATAACATGTGAGATGTTTGGTGTGTATATATATATATATACACACACTTTTGTGATTTTGTTTGCTTCCATGTGTTATTTTCTTTTTCAATCCATGCGAGTGCGCAAGGAACTGCCCATGCCACGTGGAGATGATCTTGTCTGAGAAGGAGGAGGCCGTCGAGAAGGCTGAGACCGAGGCGCTCTCCTGGATGTTAGACTGGTTGCTGCGATTTCGCTTCTTTTGCAATGTCCACTTGGCGCTGCCCAGGAGAAGCCCAAGAAATTCACTCGCAAGCAATTTGCCCGATTGCGCCTCAAGGTGCCTCTGTCTTTAACGCACACTTGTTGGAGATTCGCTGGTGTGAACTCGTGTCAAATCGTGCTCTTCCATGCTCTTTTGCTCGTTCACTACCTCAGAAGGCTGCGACGTTGAAATAGATTGAACGGGTGTCTAAAGGCAGCAACATGAGGATCTCCAATCTTGGGTCGGAGTGCGGGATTTTCTACTTGAACAGTGGTTCATTTGCAGGTTGGCGGCGATCAGTGAGTGACCTCTTCAGCCGAAAGCTTTTACGTCGTGATGCGGTGCAAACAAAGACAAAACCTTCGCAGCTTTTGCACCTTGCTTCGCCTTGCTTTGCCGTGGGTTGCATTCGTTTGTACACATGTCATGATGTTTGGGCCACCAAAGGCGTCGAGATCTTGAGAAAACGTAGGCAAACACACTACAAAGCAGCTCATGGCAAGGAGACAATAAACGGGGTCTATCAATGCAACAAGATTGATGTCGTTGGGGTTGGATACATGGGCCTGGTGGACACAACGGTCAACGAGCTTGCCACAGCACCTTTTCCAAGTTGCCAAGCTTACATGTTCGAGTTATTCAAAGGGCCGACATTTTCTTTGTTCTTGCTTGCTCGATGCTTCCATCCTGGAAGCTGGGACGAAGATGGTGAGCTGCGAATTCTAAACATGGTGGAGCATGCCGCAGGGGCCACAATTTGGGGCGCTCTTGTCATATGAACAATTGTACTTGATCAATGGAAATTGTTTCGTTCCATGATGCATTAGTCACTAGTCATGTTTCTTAAGTATCTTGCTTTCACTACACTAAAGAGTTACCAGACTATGTAGTTTGAATCAGTGAAGTCAGCGCGTGAACGTTCGAAGAGAACATTTGCATCGTAGGGACTGGAAGAAGTGCAGAAAGGAAGAAGGAATAGAGCAAGGAAGGAAGAACAGGATTGCGTATTTTGCAGCATACAGAACTGGAGTGTTGTTCACAGGTCGTGGGTCGCCGAAGACAACTACGAGCTCCTATCTCTCTTGAGAGGACGACAACTTCTTTTTTTGGTGGGGGGGTCGCGTGAACAGGTCCGGGGAGTTGTAGCTAAGTCAAGTAGAGAAAGATGAGAAAGGACGCCAAGTAGGAACGTAAAGCTACTACATGCAAGCACCGCAGAAGACCTCTTCGGACGATCGAAGCTGTTTGCAGATTCCGCCGGAAACAGTTTCTATAGTGGATCATGACCGGAGCAGCACGGCAGAGACCTGATATGTGCTTCCTCCACGCTAAGAAGGAACCACATCATGACCATCACTGATTGTCATGTAATGTGAATGAATTCAATCCTTTGCACTGATGACTGATGCCTTTGTTTTGAAGTGCTTTGCACAGCGCTAGTGCAGTTGAAGTTTCATTCTTGGGGAGGCCTTTTCGGCGAGGGCGGCTTTATCCATCCAAACTTGCGGGTGGCACGATCGGCTGGACGAGGCCTCGTTGCCACAGGGAAGCTCCGCAAGGATGAGGTGCTCTTGATGGTGCCTGGGCGGAGCCAACAGACCCAATGCGGTCCAAGATTCGGTAAGATTCGCCATTAGGAATGTCTCTAAGAGACCCAGTTTACATGAAGGATACTGCAGAGGCGAAGAGCTGTTTGAGAAGTCCTATTTCGGGTCATGGTGGTAGTTGTGGCGAGGGGTCGGGGAGAAGATCCAAAATGGGGCTCTGGGGAGCTTTGGTTCATCCTCATCCTTCATTGTTCCTTTTTGCACTCTAAAACATTTGTTGTTATTGTTCTGGGGAAGAATTGTCTCCAAGAATAGCTCTGCCGTTTTTATCTTACGCTTTCTAAATATACTAATGAACATGACGATGTATCCAAAGAACACACATATGAATTGGAAGAACTATAGAAGCAATAGGAAAGAATCAAGATGACCATTATGTCACATCAGTTGGGAAATTCGGAGTGAGCATACATGACAGGTCGAAAGATAGGTCAAAGACGGATGCGATTTAACGTGACGTTGTGGAATGCACTTCCCTTTTAAGTGCAACTGGCTTGGTGACCAAACAGATTGAGAGAGAAAGTGTGAGGCTTGAGTGGGGATGGAGATACTGAAAGTGAAACAGGAGACAAACATGTAATACTGAAAGACACATGAGTAAGAGAGCAAAATGACTTAATTTGACCACAGTTGTCACAAAAGTAAGCTGAACTCTGACACAACTGTTCAGAACCTGCATGAATATGTGTGTGGAAGTACGGGAAGAAGCAAATGAAGTTTGTTTTGGAGATGGAGAAGGCAGGAATGAACATATTCTTGAAGACAGGTTCAGTGATCCCGAAGAGGATACATGCGCTTGGACCTGACAGAGATGAAGAGCACCTGAAAAGCTTACGATACCGTAGCGCCTGAAGTGAGGCAAGAGGTCGAACAGTTGGAGCAAGGGAAAGATATAGCGAGTGAACAAAAAAAGAGGACAGAAAGAATGATGCCCCGGCTGCCCCCATTCCTGACTGTGATTTTGTGGCAACCCCTTATCCTATCGCTCAGTGTAAAGATTTAGATCGAGGAGGGATAAAACATTCAGGAGCAACCTGATGAAATATATTTATGAACACGTCTTTGATTCACGAAGACCTTGTAGAAAGAATGGAGAAAAAGACACTTTGTTTTTGAAGCCCACCCTTACTTAATAAAGTAAGCGCTTACTTATATACTTAGGGCAGTGGACGCAGGATAGCTCACGCTTCTTGAAGGAAAGTTCATAGTTTCATTTCTTAAAAACAGAGAACAAGACACGCACGAGGAGGAAAGACAGCATTGCTACAAAGCTGTTGCACATTGATGACAAGGTGTGTTAGGTCAGTTCAGAAAAGGGGCAGAGAAAGGTAGCATCAAATCGGTTGTGAACCGTGGCCTGGAATATGGGAACCACAACACTCGCGACACTAAACCAGACACTCAACAAGAACCCAAAGCTACTTAAAGAAAAGGCGCCTACATAGAGTAAGAGTAAATGGCAGGGAATAATTTTTGTAACTTAATTGCTGGTGTATGCTAACTTTGAACGTGATAATGAATGAACACCAATGCATCAGAGAAACAATTGAAAAAGAGGATGAAGAGACAAGATAGTTTGTAAGATGTCATTGTATGTCCCACCAAATGACCAGGAAGGATAGTTTTCTGTCACAAAGTAATTGAGAGGTTGAACAGGCTTAAGGGTATAGCAATGGACCAGCTGAACGATACATGCTGACATGAACCTTGCTTAACACGCACAACTTGAACACTAGGACATAATTGGACATTAAAGAGCTAAACACAATTGATTTAAATATTTAGCAAACTACTCCGGAAACCCAAACCCAAATAATATAACCCACCAACCTCAATAAACATGTATCGGGTTCTTTAATGAACCCAGTGACTTTGTCAACCAAAGTTTCCCCTCAACCTCCACAAGAAATAACGACAACAGCTTAACAAGAACTGTCAGGGACCAAACCAATTCAATGAGGTGGTTGATGAACACAGACTCTAGAACTCCCCTGAAGAACTCCTTTTACAATGTTTTTTTCCTAGTCACCAGGAAGCTTCAAAGACAGAAAGCTTTATTGCTACTACAGGTGAAACGATTCCCAAGGAAGCTTGGGGTGGGCATGCTTGGCTGAAAACATTTGGCTATTACTTGATTGTGTGTGCAAGGCCAGATGTCCCCTACCCAGAAGCACCCTTATCACGACGTCGTGCAATTGCATTCCGGTCTGTGGAAAAATGACAGGACTAGGATTGGCAAACGTGCATTTTGTTGATTTACTATGCCTACGCTGTGAATAGACCAATTTGAGTTCCAAAAACTTCACGAAGTGCATAAGTCTTGCAAGGTGCCTTTGAAGTGCATGCTGCGGAGACCATTGCCTTGGTCGGAGCTCCAAGGTTTCTCCAAACCTCGGTTATCATGGCGCTTGTCACAGGAGACTGAGATACACACAATTTTAGGACTTGCCAAGATAGTGCGTTTACAAACAAGTGAACTAGCATATTTTTGACTTGTCCTGATTTGTAAGTCTCCAAATCGTATGACACTTGAAAAGAGAGGAAAAGAGAGAGCATGGCGCCAGGATGAGGAGATCATAGTCTTCTTAGCGGCACTGCGAAAATATGGAATCAACTCTGAATGGTTCCGGTACGTGCTGACGTTGCCAGAGGATGATGCCAACTCAACCTTGTCCTGGCGCTCAGAGGAGGCCCATCTTCCATCTCACTTCAGAGAACAAATTGCTTGACACTATAAATATATATTGTACAATATACTATTTGTTCTTGCGATCTATTCATGCCTTTGGTATGGTTATCAATTTCTTCATTAATTGTTGCTGTTTACCCCCTATGAAACGGGCGTTGGTAGTGAAGGGATAGCTAAGTAGCTACTAGTAGGATCCGGACGTAGTAGAGCTTCGGTTCTTCAGAGGGCGAGAGAAAGGTTCTTTTGAAACAACATTTTATTTATTGTATTTTTAAAGTAATCTATTTATATTTGGTTTAGTTCTTCATTTATGTTAAAATCCTATCCGTTTAGACAGAGTTCCTCGATTTCATGAGGCCGTGAGGCCCCAGACGGGGAGGTTCTCCGAGGAATTTATGGGGTGAAAGGTGTTATCATGTTTTCAATTGCTATAGCAATGGCCTCCAACCTAATGGCAATGGCCTCCAACCTGTACTTGTTTTCAATTGCTTCATGCTCCCAGAAAAGTTTTTGAGGAACGGATTTGTTCCAAAACACGTCAAGACATGGATGTTGGAAGCACGAGATCTTCATTTTACAGAGCCTGTCTATGGCCAATCAAGGTGCGGTTTCAATACTTTTGAACACATGTTTTTTCCTTTGGCATGCATCAAATGTCCCACTGCCACCAGCAAAAATTAACATGTTTCATATTTTTCAGGTATACTACAAAAACAGTGGTTTTGCACCACGCATCACAAAACCCGCCTTTTTTTACTCCAAGTCCCAGACAGCACATTGCCCACAATGTGTTTCACCCGCGTGAAGGAACACAATGTGAGAGCCAAGACCAGAATCAAGCCAGGACCGTTGTTCAAATATATAAATAGATAACACCTATATAATACAATGTATATATACTTACGTATTTCCATGATGCGCAAGCAAATCACACATGCGATAATGGACCTTCGGACTCATTCCACAGCTTGCACAGCTCACCCTTTGCAATTCTGACACCATTCAATGCAGCGGTTCCTGGAAGCAACCGCAATTGAATCGTTGCAATCAGAATGTCACCACTTTGGACCCATCCTTCCAACCCCCGCTTCATCCAGGCCGAAGCAAACAAATTAATAGTAGTTCATCTTTGGAAATCACAACGAACCTCATCCAGTCCTCTTAAAACCTCCTGTTTGCAACCCCACATGATTCCACATGAATCATGGTTAAATCATTTGCCACATTTTCCGAACTTACCCCTTGGCAACACTCTTTGACTTAAAGTGGTTCTCAATCTTCCTGTCAGAAGTACTGAACAAAGCCTCCAGGTGGCAGCGCTGCGCGGTACACCGGCGCATGCACCAGCACGGCAGCTGCGGCGACAAGTGCTGCGACTTTGCGAAGAACTGACCATAGGATGCCTGGGACCTAAGGCCAAAGAGACTTGCAATCGATGCACTTTAGCTTTTGGTCCACTTGTCTCTTCATTGTTTTTGCTGTATTTCTTGTATATACTTGAATTCAGAATCAACGCCTGCCACGCTTTGTGAGTCTTACTTTTCTCAGGTGGCAGCCTATGCACATTTCTTTTTTCCACTGGCATGCACTTAGGTGCTGAGTTGCGGTGGGCAGCCAGCCACTACTGGAGCCGGGCACTTCGAATGAAGCCAAAGGGCTTTCACGCAATGGTGCCCGGTGTGGGGTTTCCCAGAGGTGATTCCAAGGGTGCGATGAGTGCTAGAAGCTAGGTGCCTTGTACCTTTGCATGCGGCTCTGACAGCATGCCTTAGAGACTTGCATTGAAAGAGAACTGGGTCCCAAAATATGGACCGATGTGTCCTTCCACGCGTTGAGCAGGGTTCGCAAGGTGATGGTTTGCACACTTTCACTCCCAGGATGCACATTGAACGGGAATGCAGTGGAATACCCACCGAAGAACAAGCAGCGATCCATTGCATCATGTTCTTAGCAATTTTTGCCGCTGTCCAACGTGGACCTATGGATCCAAAAAACAGACACCGGTTTTGCGCTTTTGCCCCTGACAACTTCCCCCGCCGTGCAACAGGATTGGCCTTGAAGCTTAAGGCTTAAGTATTGTTACCTAAGGCGGAGTCAACATAGGGAGCCTCGGATTCAATTGCTGCAAACTGTCCAGAGTTTGCAACGAAATAGCATTTATACTATTCACTAGTCGAGAAAACATAGCCGAAGGATGTTGAGGGAAAGAGTGCTAAGGTAGAATCCCTCGAAGCTAAATGGCAATGAACTTGATCACGCAGAAGATACGGGATTTGGTGCATTACTGGGAGGTTGTTCGCAGCAAACTTGAGACGCGCCTGATTGAGTAAACACGGTTGACACGGAGTTGACACATGATGACATCACTGTGAGGTTGACTTGATGAATTTTGACCCTGACAGCAGAAACTACTTCCGCATGGCAGGGTCCAGCTGGCAAGCTTGTGCAAGCATACAATAGCCACAGTTTGTTACTAGAAACAAGTGCCACGCTGGTAGTAACAAGTGCCTTACTAGTAGTAACAATGTTTGCTAGTAGAAACAAGTGCCACGCCAGTTTACCTTGCAATTCATCCCTCTCGGCGTCCTGCCTTTGTCTCAGGAAGAGTATTGCGTACATCGCTGGCTGCAGGCTCAGAAGAGTTTGCAATTGCAGGACACAGTGTTCCAATAGAGAGCCACGCTCAGCTTTTTCAAAGGCTTGAGCCACTTTTAGCTTGTGAGATCATGAGAGACAGAGGCACCAGAGATTGTGACTTGGTTATGTCTCGGCATGTCTGTATTTGGGATTTGGGAAGCTGAAAGATGTTGTCATTCTTGGACTGAAGTACTGTACTGTAATCGTGTTTGGCCCTTTTCTTGCCCGTGCTTTACTTTCCAAGGGCAAGATTATGAAGAGCGCCAAGAGATCCTGGATAGCTACGGAGGCACAGAGATCCTTTCATTTTGACTATTCCCTCCACTTTTTCAGTTCTTGAAATTGCTGCTTTTTGCACTTCTAACCCGCTCATCACAGTGCAAAACTGCTTTTGAATATGGTTTGAAGGGCCAAGTGATTAAAAAAAAATCACGGTGCAGTCAAACAGTTCAATGCTGAAGCTTTGGTTCGACGAGATAGGATGTCCTCGATTCACTTGGACATTCTTTTTTGAATATTTGTATGTATTCGTTTGCGCTGTTTGTGTCCTGAAAGAAGTTCCAGGTAAGAATGACACATACCTCCTGACGCACTACGGCTTTTTGCATCAGGCCAACTTGAGAGCATCCCGAGGGCGTTCTCGTTTTGCAACATTCTTCAAGGTGCAAGTTCTTGTTTAAAAGGAAGAAACGGCTAGGGGCGCATCGCTACGAACGGAGCAAAAGGACGCTACTAGGACGAAACGAGGGGTGTTCTCTTGTTGGAGATGGGTTCATGAAGGAAGCTCCCGTACTTCTTCGACTTCCTCTCTACCGGACTCGATTTCTCTGCCTTCCTTCCTTCCTTCCTTCCTCAATAAATATGGAGAGTGAAGTTCCTATGGCGAGCCTGGAATAGCATTCAGCGAGGCACAGAAATTACCTTAATGCCAAGACAACATAGTAGCTTCTTGTTACTAGTAGCGATGGCCTCTAACCTAGTAGCTTCAAAGTTATTCTTTGCTTACTTTAGCCCTCTCAAGGTTAGAACTAGCAAGTAAATAATCGACAGTCAGACCAAATCCAAAGTCAAGCTGACCTGGAGAGAGCTGCCTGCACTTTGGGCTCGCAGCGGTTAGACGCCCCGCGACGTAGATCTTGTGAGCTCCGGTCTGGTCCTGGAAGTGAGACTGCATCACCTGTAAAAAACACAATAATTACTATAGCGGTCTTTCATAGTCTTTCCTTGGTAAGCGGTGTGCACAAACTCAAAGTGGTGCATGCATCTTTTCTTGGCCTTCACACTTCGAACTGATGGCTAAGCACTCAGGTGCACATTATCTTGACAATGACCATCAAGTACTCCCGCGAGTCCAAGAACCCCAGCAAGGCGGAAGAACAAGGATGTTGTTGAATGTTTCATTGTCATGGAAAGTAGTGAGATAAGTAGTGAGATTCTCGGCTGTTTGGTGATATCCTGTGCAAGGCTTGCAAGGCCCAGGGTGTTGATCTTCGAGTGTGCCTCGGATGAATATGGCATGGCGACAGAATTGTCTACATCGAGTTTTCACAAAGTTAGAATGAGTAGAACGAAGTGAGCCGCTGCCGATGGCACCATCTATCATCACAAACAACTCTCGTTTTGTTCTGGCTGCCTGAATAGACCCTCTCCCCTATCAGTCGTCTTCGCTCTCTGTGGGCTTTGGCCAGTTGGCAGGCACTACAAGAACACCTACGAGACAGCGCAGGCCGTTCTGTCGCCCTGTGCAAAGCTTCACAAGCCAGCGAGGGTAGCCTCTTTCATTGTTCTGCTCTTGAGTCTGGGGTCCGGTTCTTTACTTCCGGTTCCTCATGAAATGCTGTAGACTGATTACATGTGCTGCCCTTACAGGCCATCAAGGGTATGAGCTTGAGCACTGCCAAGCAGTACCTCCAGGATGTTTGCGAGAAGAAGAGGTGCATCGCTTCACATCGCTTCAATTGAAGGGCTGGCTGCAAGGACTGTGAGTTTTTTGCAGGTGCATTGTGTTCCGCAAGTACAAGGGCACCATTGGC